GGGAAAGAGGGAAAACCTCCATCAGTTCACAGAACAACTGCCAGTTTAGATTAGTAAAACAGACGCTCTGACATAATCCCCCTCCTCGCATCATAGCAAAGTCATAGAGACAAAAGCTCAAGAAAATTAAACAGAAAGATTTGCTTGTGTCACACATTTGTCCTCCCCACATTTTAAAAAAATATTTCATGTGATTTTTCAAATGTTTGATATCAGCAGAAATAGGAAAACATCACCTAACAATCATGTAAGTGCAAATCAATACCAGTGAAAGAAAATAGCTCTGGGGATATAGAAGATTTAACTGTTAAAGAGTTATCTGAAAGATTTTCCTGTAGTCTACATGGAATGAGACTATCCCTGCCAATGTTCGTGCAATGATTTAGTCAAGCTGCTTTTGTTGGAGCAGAGTGGAAAAGAGATGTGTTGTAGCAGAGGCTGACCTAATTGTTCCCTTTTAAAGCCAGCTATTTCACACACAGGTTAAATGGCAGTCAGCAAGAAGCTGCAAATACTGAAAATCCTCCACTGGAAAGAAAAAAATAATGGCTTCACTCATACATGGTCAAAGCAAAAGCTTCCAGCAAAACTACCATAACTTAAAATTGTGTGTATAGAATATAGAACTGAAAAAAATTTGTCTTAGTTTCTTAACTAAGAAAAAATTAATTTGGGGTAACATCAGAAACATTAAAACTGGAATACTGAACCCTATTAATCTTTTCACTATGGATTTAACTTTTGACTATGGACTACTTTAGGTGCGTCCAGCCTTTTTAAACAAGGTCTGCACTTGATATATTTGTTTTTCCATCATAGCCAATAATCCTTTATCAGGACTAATGGAATAGATCTAATCCTTTGAAAAAAACCCAACTCTCTAAGAACCTTATGAATTCCTGTTTGTCATAAAAATATGGTTAGCTGTAAAAAGGCAAATCAAAATCTCTAAACTGTCATTTATTTTTTTTACTATAAAAGACAGTATTTCCTCCCACAAAATTGACATAACTTTTTCTTGAAAAATGATGAAAGTTTAAACAGAACCCAGGAGTAACGTAACATTTTGTTTGCAACCTTTCTGGTTTTGATAATGAAGGCTGAATAGAAATTCTAGTTTAGATGGTATAATCGTGTTCCCTACAGGGCAATCTTCACAATCTTCAGAAGATCACAATACAGATACTCTTAACAATTAATGGTGTTGCTCTGTTTACTTATTGAAAGGAGGTTGTGATTTGCTGATTCGTAAGCCCCTATATGTAAACTTGACACTGTGGTCATTATTTGTTGCCAAGTGTGCTTGCAGGCATTTTCTTTTTGTGAATTACCTTCTCTAAAAGCAAAAACCAAAATCATAATCCAGCAGATCTCAAACCCTACCCTCTCCATCTACTCAGTGTTGCGTATGTTGCTTTCACAAAAATTTTAAAAGTTACTTTTCAATTTTTGAGCTATATGAGCATTTGCTGTATTGCAGCATTTTATAGAAGTTACAGTAACTAGATTTATATGCCAAGTCTTTGAATTGTTAAATACTTATTTATGCATTATATACACACAACATTTGCAGAGGTTTAATGCACAATGACTTTTCATTTCTATCGCACATAATCTAGTTTAGCTTTTCCAGAGACTTAGTTAGCAATTATATTTAAAGGACTGATGTTAACATTTCTGAAACTTTATAATTTAATTAGTTGTCAGATTATCAAAAGGCATTGAGTTTGTGATAGACATTTAAATAAATGCAAAGTATATAGTCATGTTGATGGCTGTTACAACTATATTCTTTGCTTAAATTTGTACCTTCAGCTAGTCTCTTGCTAGATGACTTTTGTACATTCTAGTTTTCATCTTGGGGGGGTGGAGAAAACTGCTACTCTAAAACTATTTCTTTTGATTGGTGTAACATGCCATAACAATCACATTAGATAGCTAACAAAAAGATATAAGAAACCTTCTTTCCTTGTTTCTGCTCTTATTGAATTTTTATTAAATTGCTATAATTTTCCAGTGAACAGGTTCATCTACATCAAATGGATTTTCAGTCATGCATAAAAATCTAAAAGAGTTGTTTATGATTTTCAAAAGCATTATCTTTAACTGTATAAAGGCCTGTGACATCTGGAGAAAATATTAGAAGTAACTTACTGGATGATCCCTCTGCAGATTGTTCTGCATCCTCTGTTTAATTTCAGTAGCTACTTCAGGATTTGTCTGTTCTAGTTTGGTTAAAATTTTGTGCACGTGGATCCTTGTGACCTGCAGAAGTTTCTCCATAGTAGTCCAGAGTTCGTTAGGTTTGGACAAATCCAATACAAGAACTACAGCAAATGACCTATTAAAAAGGCATTATTTGGTCAAATCTTTAGCACGTGAGACAATTAACATTTTCATATAGAACCATACCTGAGGTACAAATGGTGAAAGCAACAAATGTGAAGATACAAATGCTAAGACGGAATGGAATGTGACAGCAAAAGGAGATGGCTTTTACGGATACTCTGAGCTCTGAAGAAACCTTTCCCTTGTCTCTTGTTCAGAACTATTACTTGGGCAACTTACCATCAGAGGTTTTGGGGGATTGTACATATCAAACTTTGTTTCAAAGTAGTAAAATATGCAAATATCCTGAGCGCATTCAGCTCCTTCTTCCTGTATGACTGGGTACTTCTACCATGATGTATTCCTGCCATCTCATAACTTTACAATACCAAATGAAGTAATGCTAGCAAATAGTTAGGATCTTTCCCAACCATTAATGTAGTAGAGAGTTCCATACTTTAATCGTTCTTCTGTAAATGGAAATGTGAAATGGAAAAAAATGGTTCAGGGCAACATTCTGTACAATATATTATGTGCTAATTAGCTGGAACCTCAAATGAGCATATCAGGAAGTCTTCTGAAAGACAAACAGAAGAAGTCAGAGTACTCAAGACATACTTAGCAATTACCAGGCTTTTAAAGGTGGATTATGATGAGAAACATTTTACATATAAACTCCTCTCCTTCAAAAACCTTACCTCCCAGAACTCCAACTGCCTTAAGGAAAAACTGTCAAGAAAAACATTGCAAATGGAGCCATTTGGATGGAGGCAATTGTTCTTTCACATTCCATCCTGACTTGAAAAAGGGGATTCCAGACCAGAGTGGTATTAGAACGACTACAAAGCAAAATAAATGTCCAGTTTTACTTTAAAATGCTGGGGAGGCGGGGCCGAAGGAGAAATCTGTTGAAAAGTCTCTTGGTGAAACTAGATACAGTTCATGGAAATTTTAAATAAGCAAATTGCTTAGCTACAGACAGATGAGAAAACCAGCAAAAAGCACTTATAATTAAGTTGAAATGATACAATTTTTGAGTAGTATGTTAAAATATTGCCTTATGAACACAAGTGGTCTTAGAGAACAATGTTGCTATCCCATCAAAGAATCTTAAGATCATCCACATCAGAAGATTCGTTATGAGTAAAAAAAGGGGAGAAAAGGCTGATGGAGGTGGAGCTCAGTTAAGTTCATTTAGGAAACAGTTGAGAAATTATAGTTGATTTTTTCCCCTCAAGCTCTTCTAAAAACAGAAAGGTTCACATGCCAGAAGTGGTGTTTCTTTTCCTTTTGTCTTAGTCTCTCACTAAATAATGGCATTATCTCAAGAGCCAAAACAGTAGCAAATATACATGATAAAAATTGTATCTCTCCTTTTTTATTTGCCCCCGAAGTTAAAGCTCACTACCAAAGAATGAAGCAATCCATCATGATACAAAACATATCTTTTGATCCTTTTCTCCACTTTCAACTCCATCTTCCCTAACCAGAAAAAACATAAAATGCACCCCCCATCACCTTCTCATTTCTTCGTGCAACTCTCCTTCATGCATTTTTTTCTTCCTATGTTATTCCATTACTTTTATGGATTTTTCTCACTAAGTTCTTCTAATTCTCTCTAAATTCCCGTTTTCTTCCATCTTCAAATCATTTCAACAATTTTAGTCTCCCAGAAACATCTTCTCTCTTGTATGGTCTTCTTCCCATCAGTTCTTCCCAAAAATCCAGAGATTTTTTTCCTCACACTTTTTTGCCTTCTTTTTCACCCTAAAATATTGCCCCTCACAAAGATAGCATCTATGTTTGCATACAGAAGTAGGAAACCAGATTTTATTTTTTCATATGCTCCCAAGTTGCTTTTTCTGCTTTTTCACTGAGCATAGACATATTGTGACTTCTCTTTTTCTGTATTTCTTGTTCTATCTAGTTAAGGCAAATCTACTTCCTTCATGTCATTGCTTTCTCTTGTTGCGGGAGATTTTTAAGAACTTGGCTTATTAGGAGAGAATCGTGAAAAGGAAGGTCAAAGGAAAGGATCAGTAGTGTTACAATGACTTTTAGAAAAAAATCATAAATGTGCAATCTGACATTTCAAAGCGTTTTCCACAATAAAAGGTCTAGAGATTTACTTACGTTTGAAGGAAAGCTGAAACTAACTTTGGAATTGTAATATGTGCTTACCTTATGTTGTTGCTAGTGATTGGTATTCGAATCAGTTCCAGTAAAGAGGTTCCACCACCTAGTTCCCAAAAATGAGCTATATCTTTAGGCTGTAAAAGAGTTTCTTTATGTTAGAAACGTTTCCTTCCATGCAATACCAAGATCTTCATTTGATAAACTTGCTTTTCATGAAAGTGGCTCAGAACAAGAGCATATATTATTTCGTTAGCATTTTCTAAAAAACAAAACCAAACAACAAAAAAAACCAAACTCCCCATGTTCAAGAAATCCCTTACAACACTTATGAAGGACTCCTGGCATGCCTACGACTGTCTCAATAAATAACTATGGTAAAGTAAAAAAGTCAGGAAGAAGCATAATTAATGATAAACATAAAAAAAAAAAAATCAGGTTCTCTTCCCTTTCTTTTTGTTTACTGCAGCTCAAGATTCATGCCTTTTGAGAAGTTTGCAACTGGAAAAGTAATGAATCTCTACCTTCGCATTTAGTTTCTGGGAAAAGTTTTAAGTGATTTTTATCTATCAGATGGAGTCAGATTTTCCACTCCCTGCTTCAATAACAGAAACAGCAATTACCTGCAGCAGTAGCGATTGTTGCTGGGCAGTGTTATGCTGTGATGGAAATAGGCTCAATATTTCTGTTAACATAATCTGCAGTGCAAAATTTAGTGATATGGACATGTAAACCCAAAAATCTAATTATGGTTTAACATCCTCTAAGATGACTGCTTCTCTCATAAAACTGGTTGTAAAGTATCTTCATTGGTTTGTACTCATTTTGCATTTTAAACACAAAGTTACAAGGCATGCATCCTATGTTACAACAGGAAAATAAAAGCACTCAAACATGACAAACAAGGTAGTTTTTAAGAATTGATCTAATTCCTTTGTGTTATACTTTGGTCCCTGATCTACTGTATTTTAGTGAGAGGGAAAAACATATTACAGATTGGAATACAAAATAAAGCTAGCTAATCTTACTAAAATTATAGTCAAAAAACCTTTTTGTTTCACAAACAATAAGCTAAAACCCCCTAAGATTCTTAGACAGAAAAATAAACCACACTATTTTTATATGTGTGTGTGTGTGTATATATATATATAAAAAAAAAGGTATAGTAAACTATACTTTCTGGATACTCACTGTATTGTGTCTTCTTGCCCTTCTTCCAAAAGTATATTCCAAGGCTAATGTTGGCTTTGGGATCTCTTCCCTATACAAGGAAAAACAACTTCCTTTTGTCAAGATTCTCTAAATGAAGAAACTTAATGCTACTGCTACTAGATTATATTTATCAGTCAGTTCAGAATTGGGCTTAGAAACAGCAGTACAGAGAGAACACTTTAAAACAGCAGGTCTCAGTTGCTAAAGACAGGAGAAGTAGCAGCACCAGTCTGAATAGATGGTCATTTAAGCTCTATCAATAGTGGAGAAGGAGGACTGAAGGGGTCAAATGACAGGTAGTAATGCAGGGAAAGAAGTTTATCTATAAGTGATCAACAGGTCACAGAAGACACCATCTGTGTATATATATATAAAAATAATTGTCATGCAATATAACTATTTATGTACAATTCTAATCCAGAGTTGAAAACTACTTTTAAAAAATTAACACATACCTCTCAAGACACCTTAGTATGATAGTGGTCTTTCCCTGGAAATTAAAAACAAAGAAGAGCCCTACTGTACTGTCATTAAAGCATAGAAGTTGTATCGCTAAATGAAACTCATTCATTTAACATTCCAGTAATAAGGTACCAGAAAAGTGTAAACTCATGTAATTGTTTGTAGCCTTACAGTGGAAACTTAACTGCCAACTTTCTGGCAGAATCAAGTTACACTACCATTATTATAATTATAAACTAATGGATGTGACAAATACAGTAATAGGAATAGTGTGCTTAAAATTAGACATTAGTGATCAACCTGGCCAACGCTGTTAAACTGTTCAATAGTTTTTAATTATTAATAATACATTTATGTAATGTTTGGTTTCCACTGGAATTAGTTATTACTGATGAGATGGAAATAAAAAGAATGCTTAAAATAGAAATAAACATACAGAAAAACATGTCTTTACACTGTTGAAATTCAGACACTGAGTACTATGCCACACTGAAAGGGCTAGCACTTCTACAGTTTACTCCTCTGTCCTCTTCCATCTCAAAAAATCAGTGAATTTCATGTAAATCTGAAAAGTCATTGTATTTTCTCCAAAAAAAGGATTTTAAAAATTGCTGATTAGAGGCTGCACATATTCCACTCCTTCTAAAATGAAAACTGTATTCTTAAAAATATGGCTCCCTTGGTCAAAAGGCAAATATTTCCTTATTTACTTTACAAATAAATGCTAACAGAAGAAAAATATGAAATTACTAATGACCAAACTTAGGGGACAATAAGTTAAAACAACCTTAGGCAAGTGGAATCATGAGTTTGCAATCACTGCTAAGGCATGTTCAGATAGGTCTGACATAATACCAAACACAATACATAGCAGGATGTCAAGGCCTCTACCTACAACATAGTTGGTATCAATGCACTTAAGTTGGATTGTTGCCACTTAAACCTTTACAAGGGGAAATTTGACAGGTCAGGGAGTTAAAGAGAGTAACATTATTTCCAGCAGTTACTTTTACAAAAATTAATGAAGCCAAACCTCAAAGAATTAGCACATCATTGATAGCAATGGTTCAAGTTTTGACTCTCCAAACCATAAACTTGAGCTTCTGAATTGTAATAATGTCTAATTGGTCCACAGTCTGTGGAATGCCCAGTCTCTGCAAAATCAGAACATGACATATTCTGTCTTTAGAGAATTAAGTGAACCTTAACATCTGAAAATATCAGATATTTTCCCTGACACAAACAATGTTTGAAAAGCACAGAACCATACAGTATTTAGTGTTACCCCATTTTTGCTTCCCATAAATAATATTGACTTTTCCCAAACTTCCACATGCTTGCCATCATCATCAGGGTTTTCTCTCTTCTCCACTTCAGCTATAGCAAGATCCCATAAAGTATCACTAGTTGGAAAAAACAAGAGTGTCATTAGAAAAAAACAACGGCGCCTAGACCATAATTCATGAAAATATCTAAATGAATAAATTAAGGGTATTGTGGTTGTTTGATGATGATGATTATTATTATTTTATATAACATGCCCTCTGCTTGTCGAAATACTTCTTTTTAACAAAACTGGGTTAAGCAAAGTTCCTGAGATAACACTTGTGGCAGACGCGGAGTTAGTACCAGCTGTGTAGCGGGAGGCTGTGTTTCGAGTACGTTTGAGACACCTTGAAAAAGTTTCCCGACGACTACAGCTTTTCACAGCACCCCGCAGGCCAAGAGCTCCCGGGCGCCGGCGCCGGAGGGGCCGGTCCCGGGTCTGAGGGCTTGGGAGGACTCCGGCCCTACGCTCGGCGGGCCCTTGGCGTCCCGGGGAAGCTACTGCTCGGAGCAACGAGGGCTTCCCACCTGCGGGGCGCTGGGGTGGGTTAGGCCTCCCCCTTTTCTGTGGGGTCCCTAACAGGAGGGGCCGGCGGCTCGCAGCTAGAGCCAGGCGTGCCCCCATCCCACGCTCGGCATCGCTCTCTTTCGGCGGCAGAGGCCGAAACAGCTCCTTTTCCACTTCCCTCCCTCCCCTAGGCTGTCGTCCCCGGCCGCC